AGAATAGAAATCATAAAACAAATAGAGTAATGTTAAAAATTTGTGCATCTGGGTTACGGATATACATACAGTTCTTTGTAGCACTTTTGCAATCTTTAAAGAAAAAGGTTCCATTATTCATATTAAATGATTTGTTAAAGTAGCACACTGAAAACTGGTACAATCAATAGAAAATGCTGTATTTCACTGTCTTGGTCCATTTGTGTTGCTATAACAAAATATCACAGACTGGGTAATTTATGAATAATAGAAATTGATTTCTCACAGTTCTCGAGACTGCTAAGTCCAAGATCAAGTTTGGTGTCTGGTAAGTGCTGCTCTCTCTCTGTTCAAGATAGTGCTTTGCTGCTGTGTCCTCTGCAGAAGAGGGACACTGTGTCCTCACATGAGAGAAGAAAAAAAGAGCAAGAGAGCTCTCCCTTCACTTTGGAGCCTTTTTATAAAGGTGCTAATCCTTAGGGTGCAGAGCCCTCATGACTTAATCAATTCCCGAAGGCCACAGCTCTTAAAATGGTTGCACTGGGGTTTAAGTTTCAACATGAATTTCGGAGAGGACACCAAGATTTAAACCATAGCATTCACTATTACGATGATTTTTTGAGTTTTGTTCCCATACTTATAGATGATACCATTTTACTATATTTGGCATATAACGTAACAAAGCTAAATTTCACCTGTTAACATGGTTTGGATATGTTTTCACCAAATCTCATGTTGAAATTTAATCCCCAGTGTGACAGCATTGAGAGGTCGGGACTAGTGGGAGGTGTTTGGGTCATGGCGGTGGATCCCTCAGGAAAAGATTAATACTTTCCCTCGGCGGTGAGTGAGTTCTCACTCTATTAGTGGCTATGAAGTCTGGTTGTTACAAAGAGCCTGGCACTTGCTTTCTCTCTCTCTTTCTCTTTTGCTTCCTCTCTCACCGTATGATCTCTGCAAATGCCAGCTCCCCTCAGTCTTCCGCCATGAATGGAAATAGCCTAAGGCCTTTACTAGATGCAGATGCTGGCGCCATGCTTCTTGTACAGTCTAAAGAACTGTAAGCCAAATAAACCTCTGTTTCTATATATTACCCAGCCTCAGGTATTCCTTTATAGCAACACAAAATGAACTAAGACAACATAGGATACTGGTCAGTAGCTGCTGCTAAAAGTAGAATTTTTGAAAAGCACATGGGAGCTAAGGCATGAAGAATTGCTTACTTTAAATGATGTTCATATATTTGAGATGGCATCTGAAACCATTACAGGAAATCACGTTTTGGAATGGCAGTGAAGACCATATTAGGCTGCAGCAAAGTAGCACAAACTACTTTCCCTGAAGCAACAAGAACCTGGTTTACTACAAAGGAAAAATATATGTGTATGTTATAATTATTTGAATGTTTCAGAGGAATAGTTCTTTCTTTTGCTAAACTTCTTTGTTAAATTGAAGTTTTTTATTCTACCTTAGTTAAGAGCAATGTGCAACTTCACTGAGATGTTAGCCATGTTACCACCATACACATGGTTCTATCGTAGGTCTAAAACAGGATTTTTCAACCTCCACAATATTGACATTCTGGGCCCGATAATTCTTTGTTGTGGGCCTTGTACATTGTAGCATGTTTAGCAGCAACCTTCGCCTCTGCCTACTAGATACCAGTAGCAGTTCCTCCCAATGTGACAGCCAAAAATGTCTGCAGATTATTGCCAAATATTTCCTGGGGGGACAAAATTTCCCCCAGTTAAGAATCACTAGCTTAAGATGGTACAATTCAGATAAAGTTTCCCCATATACTGAAAGTTAGTTTTAAGATGATGAATAAAGGGTTTAGAAAATAAAATTAACTATTGCATTGTCTCCTTAGTATCTATAGGATAAACCCAAAATGTTTAGCCTGCTGCATTGTGGCTGGGGCCTTCTATCCCTTTCCACTGAGAGGCTGCTCTAGCTAGTGCATTCTTGACTTCTGAAACACGAAACATACTCCTTATCCTAGAAGTACACATGATTTTCTCCCTGTTGCCACATCCCTATCTTTGAGTTGTCACAGGTATAGCAGGACATTCCTTACTTTGTCACAGGATCAAGGGTGCCCAGCTGATGAAGACGAACTTAATCCAGAGGCTGGATGTGGCTAATCAGATCTCTCTCCTTGGGGCTGGGCATTGTTGTGTGACTATCTTTGGGCAAAAAGCAAGTGAAGCAGAGAAATTCAGCTTAAAATGAGAAAAAGCAGACATGTAGCCTATGAGAAAGGGAAGGAGGCCAGGTGGGCCAGCTCATGGGCATATCCTCCATGAAGTCTATTAAAAAAACATCACTCCAAATATCTCCTTCCTCTGAATGTCCTTAATTAGTGACATGATTGCAAGCAAGTCAGTTTTTCTCCCAAGATTTCAGTTTACTCATCTGGAAAATGAGAAGGATGAGCCAAAAAATAACAGTATGCTTTAGCTCAAGTATATGACTATGATATTAATTATTGGTAGAGTCTTCTGGTGTTGTTTTATATTGTAATTTAACTGTTGAACTGTAATTTAACTATTTGACTTTACATGAGCACATCTTCCCAATTAGTGTAGATACTCCCTGAGGGCAGGGTCAGAATACTGTATTTACTTATCTCAGGGAGCAGTGATTACAAACTGCAGGCAGTGAATCTCTGGGAATCACTGGGTTACAACAAGAGGTATGAGTGCTGTTTGTAGATTGACTAGATAAATATATACTCAACATCTGTCTTCATAAACCGCATGGCTGATTCAGTATCTCATTTCTCATATTCTTATTTCAAAAGGCTAAATCATACAGGTATCTATCTAAAAACCTGATGAAGTAGGCATAGTCTTGTAGAAGAACTACTGATACATGAGAAAGAAATCTCTGAATCAAAAATGTAGGCTTATGAATGGAGGGCTCTTAGTAAAATGCTATGATGGTTAATTTTATGCATCAACTTAACTGGGCCATGGGGTGCCCAGACATTTGGCCAAATATTAATTTGGGTAAAATCTGTGAGGGTGATTCTAGATGAGATTAACATTTGAGCTGTAGACTAAGTAAAGCAGATTGCCTTCTTCAATGTGGGCAGGCCTCATGCAGTCAGTTGAAAGCCTGAATAGAACAAAATGGCTGAGTAAGAGGGAACTTCACCTTCTTGACTGCCTTGAGCTAGGACATGGGTCTTTTCCTGCCTGGGACCGAAACAAAGGTCTTCTTGGGTTTTGTGCCTGTTGGCATTTATACTGAAACTTATACCATTGGCTTTCCTGGTTTTCAGGCCTTTGGACTCAGTCTGGAACTATGCCATCAGTTCTCCTGAGTCTCCAGCTTGCTGACTGCAAATCTTGGGATTTCTGTCTCCATAATCAAATGAACCAATTACTTTAATGAATCTCTTTTGAT